CGGGGGTGCACTAATTAACCGGACATAAAACACAACTAACCGGGTGTTCGCGGATATATATATCGCTATAGCGATGCGGACAAAAGCAGATGTTATCAGATGATATTTTTACCCGCTTTTATCTGCTTTTATCCGGCTTCGACGAAGAATTTATACCTGCAATCATCTGCTTTTATCCGGTTTTAACGAAGAATTTATATTCGCAATCATCAGTCATTTTCACCAGGGTACCACGTGGTAAAAATTTCTGGCTGGTTCTACTATTACAGATCGTCAAGTTGGTAAGGTATCAAATAGTACTATTTCCCAGCCAACATGGTGTCGTCATAATCACGGCATTTTTTGGTCACAAGTTACGTCATATTCACCCTTAACATCACGTCAAAATCACGTCTTTGAAACGGGCAAATGTCACAGACCGTTGACGTCATATTAGGACGTACAAATAACGTCATTTGAAGACGTCTATATGACGTAAGTACTGACGTCTTAAAGACGTACAAGATTTGTCATATATTTTGTAATAAATAAAACAAGGAAATATATTATAAATGTCATATATTATAAAATATAAATAAATAAATAAATAAACTTAATAGAGTACCTAGACCTATCCCATAAATCGAACATTATGTATAGCTCGAGCTATCATGCGTGATAAAGCACCTTGTCGTATTTGCACTGTTGTTTATAAGGTGGCCAGTAAACTTCTTTTTTGCGAGGAGTTAGCCACTTTGTATTGATAGCGGAAATTCCCCCGTCACCGTCGTGTGCAAATTCAACTACGGCGTACATCTTTTAAACACCTAGTATAGGTATAGGTAAATAAATTAAGAATGATTTAATAATTATGTAAAACCTACCTATTGATCCGCAGTTACTGCACTTAATTGTAGATTTGCACAACAGTTCTTAAGTAACTTAATTTAACCGAATAACAGAATGAACGCCACCGCGGTAGTGCACCGTTGCAAAACATGGACGGTTACAAATGATCAAGCAATCGCAGCCTGCCACTAAAGTCAGCTGATCTCACAGTAGTCAGCTGACTGAATCACAGTCTGTGATTGGTGGTATCGAGCACGGCGTTCTTTACTTCCCGCCCAGGGTTGCCAGTGCTTTTGTACTGAAATCAGTACTTTTCAAGGTTTGTCAGTACGTCAGTGCTACTTTTATAGTTTCAGTACTTTTTGCGAAATTTCCTTCCCAAAAAAACAAAATTGAATATAATCATACAATTTGTTTAAAAGATTTGTGAAATCTTGGTTGCCTATTTTGGATGCTTCTGTCATTTTCTGTCGCTGCTGCCAACCCTTGCCTTACAGCGTTGCCGGCTGCGGCTTGTTTTTTTGGGGCTTGTTCCATTATTTCATACCAAAGGTTTCGGTGTTGCCAACTTACCAAGTAGAGCGGTGGCGCCACAATTAAAAAGCGACCTGGCAACACAGCCTGGATTTGACAGTTAATGTTTTAATTTAAAACTTGAAAGTGACGGTACCGGGTTCAATTCCCGGTCACAGCCTTGGGTGTTGTTTTTCGAGCATAAAAATATATAATAATGAGCTGGCTAAATAGTCGAAAAAATAAAAGTCAATAGACCTTAAAAAAACAAAAACTTAAAAGTGTATATAGGCTTAAAAGTAAAGAACTATCTAAATTTAATATTATATACATCTATATAGTATAATTTAATTTATATATATAGTATAATTTAGTTTAGTGCGTTGCAGGCCGTTGTGTGTTGTGATTATGTTTTAAGTATATGGTATTGTTATGTATTTCTTATGCTTATTCTAACGGTCATTATGAACCCACAGTTAAGCATAATTTATAGATTGCCTTCCTTCCTTCCTCCCGTAGAAGATAAACAGTACAAAAACCGTTGTGCAGTTTAAAGATTCCTGTACTATAAATGGCACTACGATTTTCGTATTGTTCATCTTTTACGGGAGGAAGGAAGGAAGGCAATCTATAAATCAGGCTTTATACTTTAAGTATGTGGTTGCAACGCCCCCACCCGCCATTATGGGCGATGAACGTGTACTACAATAAGAAACGAGGTGTACGTCAAAATATTAACATCTTGTATTTTTTTGAAAACAATACTTTTTTATTAAAATCAGTACGTTTTTCATTCCAAATCAGTACGGAAATTTTTCGTGCTCTGGCAACGCTGTTCCCGCCATGTATCGACACTTCACAAGTTCCACGAATTTTTGTCTGTTTTTTTATTAGGAATAATATATATAGGTATTGACAGCAATGAAATTGTAAAACTAAATTTAGAATTAAAAAATATTTTGTTTAAAATAGTATTTCGTTATTGTCCTGTAGGATAATTATTTGTTCATAGACGGATTTGGGTGTCATCGATGATAGGGATTTTTTTTTCTGATAAAAAAATAAGTTTTGATATACAAAAAAATTGGGATTTTAACTAAAGGGTGTTCAAAAATTAGGTAGTACAATCTATACCTACTATATTATACGTATTATTATAGGTATATTTATTACGTGATATAAAATCACCTATTGAAAACGTCAGAAAGACGCAACATAAAAACGTCTAAATGACGTCGGAAATGTGACGTCATAAACCCCTCTTTTATTGGTCATGTGACGTCGCCGACGAAAGGTGACCTTAAAATGTCGTCCTAATGACGTAACCTTACCATCTTGACGATCTGTAATAGTAGAACCAGCCTGAAATTTTTACTGGAACCGCGAAATTTGTCCATTAATGGACAATTGTCCATTGTCTCCCAGTGTCCAGACCCTCCCCACTCTCCACGTGGAGTACTATACCCAAAATCCACCAGCCGCCACTGGGATTTGGCAACGCAGTTTAACTGCGGCAGTTATTGAATAAATGTATTGAATTTAAAACCGACTCAAATTTGGGAGCAATGTTTAAACAAAAAAAAGCTAGGATAGAAGGAATTTTATTTGTTTTTTCGGATCACGTCACATATGCAATGCGAAGGTACAGACGTCGTGACGTGTTAAAGGTGCGATTTCGTTGCGACGTCCATGCAGCGTTCGCGGCCTGCCGCGGCGTCCAGCCGTCGAGCACTGCTATAATGCATTGCAATGGCAGCGATTTCGTTAACGCGGCTCGTCTGGAAGACGCAGCAGCCCGCCGTCGACGGCTATAGCCGTCGTATACGTCTTGACTGCTCAAAAAACAAGTCGGGAGTCCCGACTCGGGACGCGAACGCTAACCCAGTTTAAATTTATGGAGAGAGAAATAAATGTTATAATAGTAAATTTATTAGTGAAAATGTCCAAAAATTGTACTAATGTTGATGACGAAATATTAATATAAGTGTTAAATCAAGTTTTTCCTTCGGGCAAATTGGAATTTTTACACTATAGTTGAGGACTGCTTTTTTATATCTTTACAAATAAGCCGGGTCTACAATTGTCGCAGAACGCAGATCGCAGAACGTAAGCATGCGCAAAGCACCCATCCACGTTGCGATGGAGCAAGGTCACACGTCGTTGTTATGTGAGCTGTCTACAATTGTCGCGCGATGTGCTTTTATTGACCAATCAGAGCAATTGTTTTCTTTATAACCACAGTGTGGCCAACGTAGCAAATTTAATATACCTAAGTACTGTCTGTCCACTCTAAGTTGGCGGAACTAAGGAATTTTGTAGTTTAGATATTAAAGAATTGTCGTACTGTGTGCTTTTAAAACAGATTTTATATTATAAATAATACTAGTACATATTATATACTAGTATTATTTATAATATAAAATCTGTTTTAAAAGCACACAGTACGACAATTCATTAATATCTAAACAACAAAATTCCTTAGTTCAGCCAACTTAGAGTGGACAGACAGTAAGAATTAGTATTTTACCTGATAAAATAAATTAATTTTAAAACAAAAATTATTATTGATTATCATAATACTTTTGGTAAACAAATATTTCCAAAATTGGATTGGAAAAATTGTTTAGATTATCATAGAATTAGTTAATATTATTTAAAATTTTAAATAATTATTTTGATCAAAATTTGAAAATTTTCGATATTTCCTAAAAACTACCTATTTAAATCAATATAAGTATGAATATTCAATAGTAATAAGAATATACATACCTACATTTATTTAAATGGTCTTTAGAAAATATTGAAAATTATTTTAAATTTGGACAATTACGTTTTTCGAATAATTTCTGAGAATTACACCAAAAATTTAAAAATAACCGCGAAATAGGAAAAGGAACTAAATAAAAGTATTGATTATTGAAAGAAAGAGAGCACAGAGACAGATAGATTCTAGCGCTCTATGATTGGCTAACATAAAAGCCTGCGAAAGACGTTATTGAAGATGTATTAACTTTCTGCGACGTGTGACCTTGCTCCATCGCAACGTCGCTGGGTGCTTTGCGCATGCTTACGTTCTGCGATCTACGTTCTGCGACAATTGTAGACCCGGCTTAAGAGTTAAAACAAAATCTAATTGCTCTTTATTAAGTCAAAAAAAGCCACAGCTGTGGCTAGAAGAGTACCTAGCATGTAGGTAGCCGGATTTAACTAAAATTGTCAAAAGTTGTCCACAATTTCAACAATCAAGATGTCATTAATTTTGAAATAAATTATAACTTTAAATGTTTGTTAAGTTTTATTGTAATATAGGTCGTTGCGGCCCGCTTGATGTAGCACACAGAACATAAGATGTAGCAGTCATACATGTGCAATGCACATTGTGCATACATATGCATATTTTGTTATCTATGATTTGGGCCAAGAAAAAAAAAGTTTGAGTAGTGTTTTAAATTTTTAAACTTTAAATTTAAAGCCATTTTTGATTCAAAGAACATCACCTTTACCATATAACAAATACCTATACCTTTACTTTCTTTGGATTGGCAGAAAAATGCAGTTTTCATGTGTTGTGTAATTTAAGCTTTGCTACTCCAAACAAGATGGCGTTTGGTTTAAATCGACGTTAGGATTGTAACTTGGCTAACAAAACTTGCGGCGTACTAGTGGATAAAAATAATTAAAGCATGTTTGCTGCACATTGGTATCCCTATAGTTAAGGACATTCTTTCATAGTACATTTTACACGTTTACCTTAAGAATCAACCAGTACAACCGAAATTAAATCGACATAATTTGTTGTATATGACGGTAGCGGTTGCCATGATTGTTTCAAGCGTCACTAGATCTGAGCGATGTGAAAAGTTTTTTTAAATAATGTGTGTTTTTTGGATGGTTATCGACTATAAATTGGTAATATAACAATTTTAACACACAGTAGTTTATTTGTGTAGCCTTAAAACAAGCGACATATGTCATTTTAATGGTCTAAATAAGTTTTGGATATGTGATTCAATGAAAGTTCACGAACGCCATACTTGAAAGTTTAGCTAGAATATTTTATGATTTTCGGTAAAAATACTAGGTGCAGGGTAAGGATAAGCTGGGTATAAATTTTTTAGTATGTTTTATTTAATATTTATACCCTAAAATGTTGTTATAAATTTACAGAGAAGTGTGGGAGTGGTTAGAAATTTTTATAATTTGACATTAAAAAAAACCAAAATCGCCTTTGTTGCCAGCCTGATATTGACCTTGAGACCTGCCTTTTGGACACAACTTCACAGTAGTTATTGTTTATGTTTTGTTAAATGTTTTACAAACTCAAGTTTAAAATCAACTAAAGTACACACAAATAACCTTTATATTATTTAACATGTATATAATATAGGTACATGTAATTATATAATAAACTTCATTGTGTCTATTTTTCTTTTCAATTATTTGCAATAATTTTATAGAATAGTTTTATAATTATTTTTAAATAAGTGCAATTTGCTTTCAGCATCGTTTTTGTCCAAAGTGATTCAGAATGGTTGTGGATGTACCATTGAAATCCCATTTTAAAATGCAACCTGTTGGCATGAACCCAAAGGAATTGTCAGAGAACGATGATCTGGCTACATCATTGGTATTGGACCCACATTTGGGGTTCACCACACACAAAATGAACGTGCGATTTAGGCCCTTAAAAACTAACACCACAGAACTGAAAAGCATCATAGCTGATTTTATAGCTAATCAAAATTATAGTAAAACTTACGCTAGAATTTCTAAGGGTGAGTGGATGCCTAGGATTAAAACAAAAATTCCACAGAAGAAATTGGAAGAACATGTAAGAATTATATTTTAATTGGTATTTAATTAGGCTATTAAATATGTATTTAATTGACAATTGAGTTACTCTTAATTATAAATTATTTTTATTATAACTGCTTGTACATTGGCAGACACAGAATTTTGAATGTCATAATTTGGTTGTCCATGAATAAATCTGGAAAATTTCCAAAAAAATAGCAAAAATACAATATTGAGCTTTCACTGTCAAAATGACAAGACTAGTGATAACCGGAAGTAAGGTTAGTTGTCCATAAAGGAAGTTTGGATTGGATTGGGATGATAGTCGTTCAAAATTCCGTGTCAGCCATTGTACTATGTTTTCATAAATAAATAAAAGTAGATTTTTTCCATATACCTATTGCATGAAAAAAAGATGTAGGTACCTATCTTTTATGTAATATTTCACCAGGTGAAATTCACCTTAATATTAAACTGCCCACAGAGCATCTCTGAGTTCGGATTTTTCTCAGTTTCCCTCATGCCATAATTTCTCATAGAGGAAGTGGTGGCCACGTATTTTAAGTACTCATTTCAACAGTTGTAAAAATTAAGTTACCAACTCTAATGTTATTTCTATTTTTTTAATGTTTTACATTGAGCCATCAATTTGTAAACCAAGCAGACATTACATTTGATGTTTTCTTTATATAGGTATATGGGGGATGAATGCTGGACGTATGTCGAAAAACAGATTTTGTAATTTTGTAAAACATTAAAAAAATAGACCTTACATTAGAGTTGGTAACTACCTGCTGAACAATAAAAATCAAGTTTGGCATCCCGCAGAGTCCGGGTTTTGCCCAAATTTAGAGGAGGCACATTAAGATAAAACTACTAAAAAATAGACAAAAGTGGAAGATGTTATCCTGTTTTTTTGATAACGAATTTGAGGTATTTTATTAAAAAAAATGTAGGATTTGTATTATAATAAATGAAAGAAATGTTCTTTTTTGACTAAAAGTCAAATGGGTGTTTCGGGATGCTAATAAAGAGTTTAAGGTTTATTTTACCAAAAATAAAATGGTGGATTTAATATGGCGGATACATTTTTTAAAATCTCTTCCAATTTTGACTGAAATTAGAGTACATGGGTTTGCTAATAACAAAATTAAGGTCAATTTTACAAAAAGAACGTGTGTATGGCTGAAGATAGCCAGGTAAATTCGCCCTCGGTGGTGTAGTAGTTAGCACTGCAGACTACAAGAGAGGTCGTGGGTTCGAATCCCACCAGGGGTATGGTTGTTTATTTGTGTTTGTCATTGTGTATTTCTGTAATTGGGCCTGGTCCCTGTTGAAAGCACATTAAAAATAATAAAATAAAAATAAAATAAAAATGGTTTAAAGTAAAACATTAAAATAATTATCAAGCTTGACAACGCTTTACTGTTTGGCAATAATTATTTAAGTAATACTATTGATAATTATTATTGTTGATTAACATTTAAAGGGGTGAGAAGCAAACAAGTGCAATTTAGCTTGAAATAAGTTAAGTGCAGAATTGGGTAGTTTGAGTCCAATTTTCTCATAACGTGAAAATTGTACAAGTTCTGCATGTTGATTAATCATTAATTTAATGCAAACATTGAAACAAGTTTCCAGATTTTTGTATATAGCAAAAACTAAAGTTAATAAATCCATATATTAAGGAGATTCTTCTAAATGAATAAGGCACTTCCCTGCTTGTAGAATTTTTTATTTTTATATTCAAAACCGACTAGTTTTGACTATTATATCCTCAGGGTTTGTACAGAAATATAGTTTTAAAAACAGAATTATGAAAGATGTAAAAATTATACTTACACTTTATTTAAATAAAGTATACAGATTAATATTAAAAACTTGTATGTATAAAATATCAAAGTCATTTCAGACCAAACAAATAAAATATAAATAATTTAAAACACAATTAGGAATATTAGGGTTATGTTGGGATATCTGTTGTTAGTGTAGTGCAGTGTTGTTTTTCACTTTTAATGTTTATAGGTACTTTCAACGTAAAGTCATTTATAAGTGTTTAAATATAGGTGTATAAAATAGGTTTACTTGTTCATTTAGGCACTGTACTTCCTTGTTTTTATTTTGTTCAAAGATTTCATATGCTTCCAGAAGTGTTAGTTTGTGATTTTTTTTTGTCCATAATTGTTGTGTTTGTTTTTATGTTAAAGTGGTGTACTGTTTCTTTTAAATGGTTGCCAAAATTAGAATTGTGATTATTATTATTTATGTGTTCTTTTGTCCTAGTTTTAAATCCAATTCTCTTTTTTGCACTTTTACCCTTTTGATTCTTACCCCTTTTTTGTTAATTTCAGATGCCTTATTTGAATTGTTGACCATATGGTTGACAGAACTAATTTCTTACAGTTTGAGTATGAGTATGAGTATAAGAACGTATGGCAGGCCCCATCCGCTACGCCTTACACTAATCTTCCAATGTTATTTCGATTCTATACGTTTGGTGGATCCGAATTTTTGTTATAAAATTAGCGGGAAACTAGAGCAATAAAAAGCACACGTTCTGTTTAAGTGTTCAGCATAGACTGAGTTTTATTGTAAGAGTAGAAGGGGTACACAAATTTACAAAGTTTGATGCACTACTCATAGATGGCATTAATATATTTGGCTAAATAATAAAATTATTTCAACACTCCCACTAGCCCAATATATTACATTACATTAATTACTCCTAACTCATCCAAAAATTTATAATGTTTAGCTGCACATAAGCTCTTTGTTAAAATATCCGCAGGCATGTCAGCTGTTTGCAAATATTCCAGATTAACAAGGCCATTTGCCTCTGAATCTCTAACAAAATGGTGCTTAATATCTATATGCTTAGATCGTTTGTGAAACATGGGATTTGCAGACAGCTTCTGCGCGCTTTGATTGTCATTAAACAAGGTTACAGCTTCAGACGCCCCAAATAATTCTAAAAGCAAATTTTTGAAGTAAATAGCTTCCTTTGACGCTTCTGAAGCTGCCATGTATTCGGCTTCAGTACTTGAAAGCGCCACAGTCTTCTGTTTCTTACTCTCCCATGACACACAAGAACCTGAAAGTTTGAAACAGAAACCTGTGTATGACTTTCTATCAGTGGAATCACTTGCCCAATCGGCATCTACAAAACCCTGCAAATCTAAGTCGTCTTTACAAAACTTTAAACCATAATCTTTCGTTTTCTGCAGATATCTCAATATACGTTTAAGACACTTCCAATGAGAATCATCATAGCAATTATTAAATTGGCTAAGGTAGCTTACTGAAAATGAAAGATCTGGCCTCGTTAAAACAGACAGATACATTAGATTACCTATTAACTGCTGATAAGGAACATCAGCCTTAATACTATCACTTTTATCAAGTTTAATATTTGCCTCCATAGGCGTACATATTGGTTTACAATCTAGCATATTAAATTTCTTCAAAATTTGGTTAACATATTGCTCTTGATCTAAAGTGATGGTATTATTTTGTTTATCAACTTTAACCCTCATACCAATACATTGTTTAATACAACCTAAATCTTTGATTTTAAAGTTATCACTCAGGCTTTTCTTTAACATTTCAACCTCTACATTATTATTTGAAAACAAGAAAAAATCATCTACATACAGAGCTATAACAGTAATAGAATTTTCTTTGACTTTAAAAAATAAACATGGTTCCAATTTGCATTTTTTATAACTTAAATCCTTTAAAAAAATATCCACTCTTTCATACCAGGCTCTAGAAGCCTGTTTGAGGCCATAAATTGCTCTGTTAAGTTGCAAAACTTTATTTTTACTATCAGGTACATTCATACATTCTGGCAACATCATGAAAACTTTTTCTTTGAGAAAACCATTAAGGAAAGCCGTTGTAACGTCCAAATGACTGGTTTCTAAATTTAATTTAATAGACAGAGCAATCAATAACCTAAGAGTTGAAAATCTCATAACAGGGGAAAAAGTTTCAAAATAGTCAACACCAGCTTTCTGAGTAAATCCCTTTGCAACTAACCGAGCTCTAAAACGCACATTATCCTCACTATCAAACTTGCGTTTAAATACCCATTTGCACTGCACTACTGTACCACCTTCAGGCACATTCACCAACTTCCACGCATCATTTTCCTCGAATGACTGAAGTTCCTCTTCCATGGCCTGCTTCCATTTCTCCTTGTTAGCTCCTGACAATGCTTCTTGAACAGTGGTAGGATCATCATCAATATTCGGGTCAAAACACAAGTAAGTGTAATAATCAGGGAAAGCTTTTGGTTTCTTTTGTCTTTGGGATCGCTTTACTTCTGGTACATCTATTATTTCCTCTGGTGAATATTCACTATCAGAGCTTTCTCCAGTATCAATTTGAGAATTGTCATGAAGTTCTGCAACTTCATCTGGGAAACTATCATTCACATCTTCATTTTTAGTTTCTCCCACTGAAACTATTACTACCTCATTTTCATTACATGAAGAATGATTTGTGTGACTCTCATTTTCAAATACAATAACATCTCTGCTCGTAGTTATTAGGTTATTAACTGGATCGTAGACCCTATAACCTTTTATATTTTCACCATAACCAACCAGGATTTTCTTCTGAGACTTCTTATCCCATTTTAGTCTCTTTTCTTTAGCAACATGGACCATTCCCAGATAGCACAAGAGGTACCCAGGACGTCCATTTCGGGTCCCACATAGGTCCGAACGTCCTAGACCTATATCGGAAGTTTTGGGTACGTCCAGTCTCTTACTTATTTGGGAAAATTATAGCGGATATACTGGGTACGTCCCAAGGACGTAATTGAAGCATTGTTTTTCCAAAGGGTCCAAGTGCCAAGTTGGTTAAATAATATATTATCATTTAAAAATAGTTTGTGTCATGCAGAATGACTTAATAGTATATTCTGTAACAAGTTTGGAATACAGCATATCCGCTCGAATGAAGAGTTTGTCACACGAGCCGAAGGCGAGTTTGACGGTTTCAGGAGAGCGGAATATGCAATTCCAAACGTGA